CCTCATGAAGGCCATAGAAGTTGCCACAGATCTCGTGGCATGCCCTTTGATTTACTTAGGCAGGTCTCGGCCAGCTGGCTGATCAGACAGCCAAATTGCAGAGCCGATCCATAATGACAGTCGCTGCAAAGCAACAGGATGGTCACTGGGGACTTTCTGAATTCGGCCATTCTACTAACATAGAAGGTCAATGCCCTGCGAACATCCAACGTGTGGAGGGTCCATTCTAAGGAAGGAGATGGATTCTGGAAGACTTCTGGTGGGCACAATTATCTCTCTGCGAGGTGTGAAAATGGGAGGCCACTTTGGGAAGGAACGCAATGCCAACGTGTAATACTGCTGAAAATGGGACACTACTTTGGGAAGGAACGCAATGCCAACGTGTAATACTGCTGAAAATGGGACACTACTTTGGGAAGGAACGCAATGTCAGTGCATAATACTGCTTTGTCTTTAAAAAAGGTAAAGGTAGTCCCCTGACATTAAGTCCAGTCATGTCTGACTCTGGGGTGTGGTGCTCATCTCAATTTCTAAGCCGAAGAGCCAGCGTTGTCCGTAGACACCTCCAAGGTCATGTGGCCGGCATGACTGCATGGAGCGCTGTTACCTTCCCGCCGGAGTGGTACCTATTGATCTACTCACATTTGCATGTTTTCGAACTGCTAGGTTGGCAGAAGCTAGGGCTGACAGCGGTAGCTCACACAGAAGCGCAAATCAGGCTCGTCTGAGCGAAATGCACAAAGTTCTCTGGTGCGCCATGCAGAAGGGATGGGAATCCAAACTGGAGTCTTCCAGGAAAGGAAGGATCTGCCCGTGGAAGCCAGAGGTTCGAAGGGAGGCTTGGACAAAGAGAGTAGGACTCTTCCAAGCTCCATGCTGGAACTACAACTGAGGGCCTGATGTTTTGAAAGCCTCGAAAGAAAAGAGATTCCAAGGGACCAGAGACACAAGATGGGAGTCCCACCTTTCTCCTGGACCACGATATCCCTGCAAGGTAGCATTGCAATGATGACAGGGAGAGGTCAGCATCTGCGAGGGAGAAGAGAAAACCCAGGATCGCAGAGGGAGGCACGTCTCCTGTTTGTGTAACAAAGGATGAAAAGTATGACCATTTGTATACACACGAATGCTTAGTTGACACCCTCTGGGCAGCATCTATCATCACCTGTTCAGGAAGTGATAGTGAAGATGTTACTTGACCTGCCATGCTGTTAACTTGAGGTGGCGCACTCTGGAGTGAAGGACCCCCTTGCATCAACCGGAGATGGAAGAACTCGCTTGTTGGACATCTCCTGCAGCAGAAAGCACCACGGTTGACGAGGCCACCACAGGGTGACGAGGATGCAATTCCTGTTGTCCATTTGTATCTTCAATTCTACTCTTTAATACTACGCATACAGGAGGCAATTGCTCCACAGCAGAAGGAATACATCTCCAAGGCATCCCCATGCACAGTTCTCAGGTTGTTGCACGTGAATACACCGGGCACATGACGTTCTCTGCCATTGCAAACAGGTCCACCTCTGGGACTCCCCAGCCATTGAAGTGGCGGGTCGATTCATTGTTGTGGAGTGACCATTTGTGGTGCACAAGCAATGTTCTGCTTAGATGGTCTGCTAGAACGTTGTCTTCTCCCGGCAGGTGGATTGCCATTAGATTAATTCTCTTGTTGATGCATCAGTCCCACAGGCAGAGCGTGAGTGAAGGGAGCCGTCTTGTTTTGCTCTTAAGAAACAGCCTTAATGCAAAATTGAAAGTAAAACTCCAGCAAACAAAATGAGCAAATGCAATCGAAAAAGGAAACAAGGAAGTCTTACTACAGACACCAATGAAAGTCTTTAGCAAAGTCCCAGCACAATCAGCAGACAAGGAGGCACAAATCACAAAGTCTTAAACACAAAGTAGGTCACGGCAGTAACAAAGTTGTTGTTAGCAGCGAAAAGCTAAGTTCTCCTGCTTCTGATTTATACCCCATGCAGGAGGGCTTAGGGCCGTGATGGTGAACCTATGACACATGTCTCAGCACTGACACGCACGGCTATTTTTGATGACATGCAGACACATGCGGTCACATACAGAGAAGTACACCTTATAAGAGCCAATCTAATTCCATCCTTAAATTTGTAAAAGGCTCTACAAATGTAACATCTGCACGTTTGAGCATTGTTCACTCCATAGCTCAGCATGGAATATATATTTTTCTTATTTAAACTATAAATATTGCAAAATTATGGTGTGTTTTTTCTCTCTCGAAGTGACACCCCACCCAAGTTATGCTCAGGTTTTTGGGGAATTTGGACACACCAAGCTCAAAAGGTTGCCCCTCACTGGCTTAGGTCGTCCCCCAATTAGCTCATCAATCTCTTAGCAGCTAATTGAGCTGACCGCCGCCTGTTCTCTGACTCCCTCCGTCTTTCTACAAAAGTAGGCACCTGCAAAACCTCATTGTCTGATTGTTCTTCCTCTCCCTCCAAGACCTGAGCACCTGACGATGAGGAATCCTCAACAGGAGCAGAGCGGAGTGTGTTCCTCCTTGTTTGTTTATGTAATACTTTGTAGTTGCATTATCTGTGATTGCATTACCTGTGATGATCTGTCCTATGTCTAGGCTCAGAGGTCTTCAGAGAATTTTTGACCGTGAGAAGTTCCAGGTAGTTTATGTGGCTGGTAGACTCCTCTCTTGACCAGGTTCCTTGGATAGAGAGGTGGTCGGTATGGACACCCCATCCTCTCAGGGAAGAATCTGTTGTCAAAAGCTTGGTAGGATTCAGTGGTTTGAAAGGTAACTCTGTGCAGACATTCCCTTTCTTGGTACAACATAAGAGGGCTTGTCGGACATCCAAGAGGAGACAAACTGGTGTTTTTGAGGTTGCTCACCAGCAGGTTGAAGGTATTGAGGAACCACGACTGAAGGTGCTGGAGTTGGAACGTGGCATATGGGTGACTGCTGTGGTCAAAGCCATGTATCCCAAGATAACTTGTATATGTCTGGCCAATATGAATGGTTGTGAAATTGCTTGAAGGGAGAAAAAAAATTGAACCTGGGGGCGGGGGGGAACAGCACCGTTTGGCCACTCTGCCCTACAATTGCCTCCTCCTTCAAGAAGAGGCTCGAACTGAGCTTCCTGAGGAAGAAGAGTGGGAGGAGCACAAACCCAATCCTCGTGTGTGGCTCTTCAAATCCGAGGTTGAAGGCCTACAGGATTGGCGAAGGCATGGGATGGTGACTGCTCTTGGTGTCTATGGCATTGATCTTCCCTAGTTCCATCAGGAATGGACCTGATGAGGGAAACAGACCCCTTCTGGATCCCTCAAGACTTGATATAGGGCCTTCTGGGCCCTCCAGAGTCAGCATGTTGGGTGTCACCAGGGGGTTGCCAGCTGGATCCTTGGGCAGCCCTTGAAAAGCCTTGACACCACCATCTCCTGATGAGGACAATCCAGGAGTGGTTGTGCATGCGCCTCTCCTGATCTAGTCAGATAGGGCAGTGCAGAGGCGGATGGCTCCGAAGCAGAAGGGAGGGTACTTGGTACCTTGGTACCATGTGAAAAACATCTTGGGGTCCTCGTGGACAACAAGTTAAACATGAGCCAACAATGTGATGCAGTGGCAAAAAAAAAAAGCCAATGGCATGTTGGCCTGCATCAAGAGGAACATAGTGTCTAGATCTAGGGAAGTCCTGCTCCCCATGCTCTCTTCTGCCTTGGTCAGACCACACCTGGAATCACACTGTGTCCAATTCTGGGCACCACAATTGAAGAGAGATATTGACAAGCTGGAATGTGTCCAGAGGAGAGCGACTAAAATGATCAAGGGTCTGGAGAACAAGCTCTACGAGGAGCGGCTTAAAGAGCTGGGCATGTTTAGCCTGAAGAAGAGAAGACCGAGAGGAGACATGATGAGGGCCATGGATAAATACGTGATGAGAAGTCAAAGGGAGGAGGGAGCAAGCTTCCTTTCTGCTGCCCTGGAGACTAGGACGCAATGGAGCAATGTTCTTGTAGGTTTTTTCGGGCTATAGGGCCATGTTCTAGAGGCATTTCTCCTGACGTTTCGCCTGCATCTATGGCAAGCATCCTCAGAGGTAGTGAGGTCTGTTGGAAATAGGAAAATGGGTTTATATATCTGTGGAATGACGGGTGGGGCAAAGAGCTCTTCTCTGCTGGAGCTAGGTGTGAATGTTTCATGCTAATGAAGGTGGTCAGCTGAAACATTCACACCTAGCTTCAGCAGAGAGCTCTTTGCCCCACCCGGTCATTCCACAGATATATAAACCCATTTTCCTATTTCCAACAGACCTCACTACCTCTGAGGATGCTTGCCATAGATGCAGGCGAAACGTCAGGAGAAATGCCTCTAGAACATGGCCCTATAGCCCGAAAAAACCTACAAGAACCTAGTGATTCCAGCCATGAAAGCCTTCGACAATACGATGGAGCAATGGCTTCAGGCTACAAGAGAGGAGATTCCATCTGAACATGAGGAAGAACTTCCTGACTGTGAGAGCCGTTCAGCAGTGGAACTCTCTGCCTTCCCCGGAGAGAGTGTGGTGGAGGCTCCTTCTTTGGAAGCTTTTAAGCAGAGGCTGGATGGCCATCTGTCAGGGGTGCTTTGAATGCAATATTCCTGCTTCTTGGCAGAATGGGGTTGGACTGGATGGCCCCGGAGGTCTCTTCCAACTCTAGGATTCTATGATTCTATTGGTAGAGCCTGGAGAAGAGCATTAGCAGGAAAGGTAGTCTCTGTTAGGGTCGTGGCAGGCCCCATGTGCCCGTGGGAGGAAAAGGGCCTGTTCATACAGTAAGGCACCATTTTTGGTTCTTTCTTGCTTGGGGAGTGAAAGAAAGGCAAACGGTACAGGATTGTACCACATGGGCTTCCCCCAAAGGCATAGGAGGCACACTGAGTGGCCATCTGAGCCAGGCAACTTGCAGTAGTCGCCATACTAATTAACAGGCCTCATGGAGGATCCACGCCTCATAGTTGAGAGATTGGTCAGGATTAGAGCGGTCAGCAACCAATATACCGTCCGAGTCAGGATTACAGAGATCAGCAGTCCAATACAGTCTGAGTCAAAGGCAAGGAAAGCGCAGTCCTAGCTGTTAAGAGCAAGATTCCCTCGCAGCTGCTGCAAGAGCAGCGGACTAAAGGAACTGAGGCAGCAGACCCTCCCACTGGCTATATACCCTATGGGAAGAGTGGTCGGGGGCAACCCCCAAAATGTACGTTAGAGATCTAGAAGATTCCGAATCCAGACTGTGAAGACGCAGGAAATACTATATGTGCAATTTCACAGGGACCACGAAGGAGACACCACTTTCTTCCGTATCTGTTTGAAACTGCATCAAATGGTCAGTGTAGATGGGCCCTCAGTGGCAAGAACAAAGCACGGTGGCTGCAGATTGGCCCCCGCCGTGACACCCCTCAAAAGACGGCAAAAAGACCCCTCCCCAAAAGCACGCATCCCCCCCAAAGGCACCCTAGTCCCGCAGTGCAGATGGGGGCAGTTTTGTAGTGTGGCCCAAAACTCTTAAGAGACCCAGCACTTGTTTATGCACCCCCTTGCCCCCTTCCTTCCCCTCTTTCATAAGGGGAGGGGGCTTGCAGCAGGTGAGAGACCCAGGCAAACACAGCTCCCACCGTAAGAGAGAGACATTTGGGGAGAGAAAGGGAGGCCCCAAAGGAAAGGGCGAAGCAGCAAGGCACCCCCTCCCCGATAGCAAAGACTGAACAAATGTAGTGTAAGGAGAAATGGGAGGGAGGGGTGTCTCTCCAGGTCTCTGCTGCATGCCTTTTTTCTCCCCTCCCCACATGCAATCATTGAGATCTCTTCTGCTCTGCCCCATCCATCCACCCCTCCTCCTCCTCCTCCATTTCTTCCTTTCTGCCACAAACCTTCCTGACTTGCCCAGAACCCACAGATGGTCCTCCCCCTTTCTGCATCCTTTCGCGTTTCCCCTCCGGATCCTCTTCTGTCGGGTGTCCCCTTAAAATCGTTCCTCTCCTTCCTCCCCTCTCAGTCCTTCCTCCCTCCCTCCCTCCCTTCCTTAAACAGCCCCCTCCCCAACTCAACTCCCATTAAAACAAAGGGGGAGACCCCCTCCACAAAATTCTTTGGATTCCCCACCAAAAAAAAAAAAAAGAAAGAAAAGAATGAAAAGCCCCCTCCTGCTCCCCGCAGACCCGGCCAGCACCCCCCAAAACCACACCACAAAAGCGCATCCTCCGCCTTGCGCAGTCCGCCCATCTGCCGGAAACGGGGGCCACAGTCAAAAGGGGGGGGGGGGCAGGATGGGGAATGCTCTCTGTGCCGCGGACCCTCTGCCCGGGTTCCGCAGCAGCCTCCCTCAGACGGCGCTCTCCCGCTCCTGCTGCAGGTTGGGGGCCGACCGCTGGCGCCGCATGCGAGGGGGTGGAGGGGTTCCGCCATTGCCTCCGTCGTGGCTGCTGCTGTTGTAGTGGTGGTGGTTGTGGTGGTGGTTGTTCCCCCCTGGGGGCCGGTGCTGCGGGTAGGGCTGGTGCTGCCGGGGGTAGTAGTTGTGCTTCCGGGGCTGGAAGTGATCCTGGCTGTGGCCCCGGCGGCCCCGATGCGGGTGCTGCCCCCCACCGCCTTCCAAGGAGTTGCGCCGCAGGGGGCCTCGTGCGTTGCTGCCGCGCTTGTGGTGAGGGCCAGCGGGTGGAGGGCTCTCTTCGGGGGCCGCCTCCTTCTGCCCCGGGGGGCCCACCATGAAGGCGGAGTTGGGCCCCCAGGAGTAGCGGTGCTGCGGGTTGCTCTTGAAGGGGAAGCGCAGCTTGCAGTCTTGCGGGGGGATGAACTTGCCGTGGGAGACGATACCGCTACCGCCGCCGTTGTTGCCCTGGGGCCTCTGGCGCAGGCCCTTGGCCAGCTGCTGCTGCTGGAGGTTCTGGAGGCGAGCCTGCTCCTGGCGTAGCCACCGGAGGCGTCCACGGCGGAAGGCAGGGTCCTTCTCCATCAGGCGGCTCACCCGCTCCAGGCAGGACGGGGATGGCGGGGAGCGGCGGCCCTCCGCCTCCGATGACGGCGCTGCTTCCTTGGGGCCCAGGGAGTCCAGGCCGCCCACTCGCCGCCGTCCATCCTGCAGGCCACCCTCCTCCTCCTCCTCCTCCTCCTCTTCCTCTGGGACAAAGCCCTCCTCCGCAAAGAGCAGCGAGCCCCATTCGTTCTCCAGGTCCTCATCCTCCTGAGAAAAGAGAGAAGGGGACATAGGTCTCAAGAGACAGACGGTTCCCCCCATGAGCCCTCACTCCCACCTGTATATGACGATGATGATGATAATGATGATTATTATTATTATTGTTATTATTATTATGTACAAGGGAAGAGCTCCAAAAATAACAGAACTGGACTGATGACCGACAGGTGCGTTGATGAGTTGTCTCTAACCCAGGCAGGGGCCAACTTGTCAGGATTATTGAGGTATGCACGTGTGTTTTTCAATATGTTTCTATGTAATTCAAGATGGATTAAGATGGATTCTATTATGTTTAATTGTGTATTAGAAATACTGTGAGAAGCAGAGAAAAAGCAACCTTGACAGTAGTGAGACAACGTGTGGGAAGGAGGAGGATCCGGTTACAGCCAGAGGTCAGATAAGCAGATGTTCTGAAACTGTTTATGCTGTGCTTTGTAGTTCCTGGTTATAGCCTGCTAAGAATGGATGTGTGTAGATGTGCTTAGTAAACTTTGTGTTATTTTGCAACTGTAAGACTGCAGAGTCCTGATTTTTGGAGTCCTGTGTCTGTTGATCTAGTGACCTCTTCCGCTGCGCATATACCCCCAAATTTCTCTGACCTGGTGGGCCTTCCCACCAGGTGTTTTGGAGTCCAACTCCTACAATTCCTAACAGCCTCTGGCCCCTTCCATTTCCCCCTCCTCACCTGGGCAGAGATGGGGATAACTCTCTCCATCTTGACCACGCGGTCCCGCAAGGACCGGATCTCCTCGTCCTTCATGTTGTTCTGGATCTTCACCTCCTGCAGGATGTCCGTCAGCTTGTCGATGTGGGCCCGGAGGTCGTCCACGTCTGCTCCTGGGGCGTTGCCTTTGCCTCCTGGGGTCCCTCCTCCTCCTCCGCTGTTGTTATTACCGCCAATGCCGCTGCTGTCCGATGCCTCCCCGACGCCGACGGTGTCCCAGACGTCCCTGGCCACGGCCCTCCAGCTCTCGCGCTCGTTGGGGTCGCGCTTCCCGTAGAGGCGGCAGAGCTCCTTCATCTTGACGATGCTCATGGCCTCGATCTCCTGCCGCGAGTGGCGGAAGTCGTTGAGGGCCACCTCGTAGCAGATCTCCTTCACCGCCTGCATCTTCAGGTCGGCCAGCGTCAGCCAGCGGGGGTCCTTGGCCAGGCGCCGGCGCTGCGGGATCTGGTACACGCGCAGGGGCTCCCGACGCTTCCCTGAGCTGGGCAGGCCGCAGCGGCGCACAATGGTCTGCACCTTGGTGGCCGGGAGCTTCTCCCGCAGGGACGAGATCAGGCGCCAGCTCTCCTCGCATGAGCGCTTGTCCGAGTCGTCACCGCTGTCCGAGTCGGCGTACTGTGGAGGGATTGAGGGGAGCTCAGAGAAGCCTCTCCAGGGAGACACCCCAAAGAAAGCTCCCTCAAACCAGGCTAACATTGCTAGAATAATACCATAGCTTGCAGCTCTTCCTACTACCCTGAGCACTGCTAAGGACTACAGAGTCTAGGTCAGGCATGGGCCAACTTTGGCCCTCCCTCCAGGTGTTTTGGACTTCGATTCCCATCATTCCTAAGAGCCTCAGGCTCCCCTCAACTGCTTAAGTGAATAATGGGGCCTCATCCGGGATTCAGAAAGAAAGTCCCTCGTTTTGTCCTTCTGAATGTAAACAAAGGCTTAAGCGGCTGAGGGGGAAAAGGAAGGGGGCTGAGGCTGTTAGGAATGGTGGGACTCAAAGTCCAAAACACCTGGAGGGAGGGACGAAGTTGGCCCATGCCAGGTCTAAGTTAACGGAAGCCACTGCCGGGCTTTAGCACAGCTGCTAAATCACCAGCAATGATAAGATCTACCAACCAAAAGGTTGCCAGTTTGACGCTCCGGGTTGGTGTGAGCTCCTGACTGTTAGCCCAGCTTACTGTTTACCTAAGCCAGTGGTTCTCAACCTGGGTCCCCAGATGTTTTTGGCCTACAACTCCCAGAAATCCCAGCCAGTTTACCAGCTGTTAGGATTTCTGGGAGTTGAAGGCCAAAAAGATCTGGGGACCCCAGGTTGAGAACCACTGACCTAATCAGTTCGAAAACAGCCTGAGCTGTAAGTAGAGAAATTAGGTACCGTTAAAATTAGTGGGAGAGGTATTTCACAACACCATAAAGAAAAAGATCAGAAAATGCCCAGCGTTCAAAAGGAAAGAGGAAGTCCTGATGGCTCTTCGTCATAGAGGATGGAGCAACAGCACCCCTTGTGGCTGGATTCGAGCAAAACCTCCAAGACGCCTAAAAACTGGATGCTGACACAACATACTTTCTTTCTGTTCTGTCTGTCTCTGTCCTGTCTATCCAAAATGGCCAAGGGGCCACCACAGAGAAGGCCCTCTCCCTCATCATAGAATCACAGAATCCTGGAGTTGGAAGAGACGTCCTAGGCCATCATCCAGTCCAACCCCATTCTGCCAAGAAGCAGGAATATCGCATTCAAAGCACCTCCGACAGATGGCCATCCAGCCTCTGGTTAAAAGCCTCCAAAGAAGGCACCTCCACCACACTCCGGGGCAGAGAGTTCCACTGCTGAACAGCTCTCAGTCAGGAAGTTCTTCCTAATATTCAGATGGAATCTCCTTTCCTGTAGTTTGAAGACATTATTCCACAGGTATATATGCTCCACTTGCTTTATCACCACCAGATCCTCTGAAGATGTCAGCAACCGATGCAAGCAAAATGTCAGGAGAAAATGCTGGAAGAACACAGCTCAAGAGCCCTGCAACCACACAACATCTTCAGAGTATCTGATGGTAATCAAGCAAGAGGAGTATATAATATACCTGTGGAATAATGCCCAGGGTGGGAGAAAGAACCGTTGTCTGCTAACGGAGTGTGAAGGGGGGTGCAATTGGAAAGCTTGATTTGCAAAATGTTGAGTGGGATCCACCCAGTTCTCCCCCACCTCCCCACATTAGACATTCCATGTGTGTATTATATCCTCCACTTGCTTGACTATCACCAGGTACCCTGAAGATGCCAGCCACCGATGTAGGCAAAACGCCAGGAGAAAATGCTGCTGGAACACACTGGCCATACAGCCCAGAAACCACACAACAACACCCCAGTGAGTCATAGAATCATAGAATCCTAGAGTTGGAAGAGACCTCATGGGCCATCCAGTCCAACCCCATTCTGCCAAGAAGTAGGAATATTGCATTCAAATCACCCCTGACAGATGGCCATCCAGCCTCTGTTTAAAGCTTCCAAAGAAGGAGCCTCCACCACACTCTGGGGCAGAGAGTTCCACTGCTGAACGGCTCTCACAGTCAGGAAGTTCTTCCTCATGTTCAGATGGAATCTCCTCTCTTGTAGTTTGAAGCCATTGTTCCATTGCGTCCTAGTCTCCAGGGAAGCAGAAAACAAGCTTGCTCCTTCCTCCTCCCTGTGGCTTCCTCTCACATATTTATACATGGCTATCATATCTCCTCTCAGCCTTCTCTTCTTCAGGCTAAACATGCCCAGCTCCTTAAGCCGCTCCTCATAGGGCTTGTTCCCTATGAGGAGCGGCTTAAGGAGCTGGGCATGTTTAGCCTGAAGAGAAGGCTGAGAGGAGATATGAGAGCCATGTATAAATATGTGAGAGGAAGCCACAGGGAGGAGGAGGGAGCAAGCTTGTTTTCTGCTTCCTTGGAGTCCAGACGTGAAAGCTTTCGACAATACACTTGTCTAATTTGTGGGTATTGACTCAGAGGGGGATGCTAAGTAGCAAACTGGGGAAAAGCGCAAGATGCTCCATGAAGGACTCCCATGGAAAGGTGCACGGGCAAGAATGGCAGTGGCTCTTACCAGCCTCTGCTGCTCCAGAAGCAGGTCCGCCTCCTCCTTCTCCCGACGGTATTGGGCCTCCAGGTCCTGCAGCCTGGGGGGAGGAAAGAGCAGAAGCCACCCATGGTCAGTCAAACCAGGCGCCAAGGCGGCACCCCACAGCCCTGCCCAGGGATTCGAGGCCACTTCACCTCTTCTCCATCTCCAGCTTGATGTCGATGCCCTGCTTCTCCAGCAGCTCCTTCTGGGCAAAGTTCCAGTCGACCGGCTCGGCCTGGCTCTCGGCGAGGCTCTCGCGCTCCCTCTCCATGCGCGCCTGCTCCGGGTGGTTGAAGCGGAAGACGTGGTTCTTGCCCATCACGATGCGGTTGCCTTCAGCGGGGAAACAGGGGGAAACAATGGGCCACAAGGGAAGAGGAACTGTAACTCGGGAGAACAAGGTTCCAATCCGTGCTCAATAAACAGAAACACAACAACAACAACGAGGGGAGCAGAAGACATTTCCATATTACCTGTCCGAACGCATCTCCTCCTATGAACCAGTTAGGACATTAAGATCATCTGGGGAGGCCCTGCTCTCAGTCCTGCCTGCATCACAGGGACGTCTGGCGGGGACGAGAGACAGGGCCTTCTCAGTGGTGGCCCCTCGGCTGTGGAACGCCCTTCCTACAGAAATTAGATTGTCCCCCTCTCTATTGGCATTTCGGATGAAAGTGAAGACCTGGTTGTTCGAGCAGGCATTTGAATAGGCAGTGTAACGAATATAGGAATACGGAAGAACGGATGATGAGATTGGATCTTGATTTTACTTGAGACGCTAATGAGATGTTTTATATATATATATATATATATATATATATATATATATATATTTACTATGCTTATATACCGCTGTATCTCAAGCCCGAGGGCGACTCACAGCAGTTCACAAACAGTAAAGACAATAAAAACAGCAATGGTTCAATACAACAATGACAATTAATTTACACATTTTCCATTAATAACTAATAAGCAATCCCAATACACAGTTATTACAAAAACCCCATCCCCAATATAGATGGTTAACTGTTTATTATGTTATTATTTTAATTGTTTTTAACTGTTTTTATGATGTCAGGCATTGAATTTTTGCTATTGTTAACCGCTTTGAGTCGCCCAAGGGCTGAGAAAAGCGGTATATAAATGAAGTAAATAAATAAAAATAAATAAATTGTGTTTACTAATAATATAATATAGTATATTGTATATACATATAATATTTACAATATAATAATGAAATACAATATAATACTAGTAATAATAATAATACAATATTATTATTATAATTATATACTTACATTACATGTAATATTACTAATAACATTACAATATAATGGTATGGTACAATATAGTACGGTAATATAGAATACTGATGTTGTACTATGCTAATAATATAATATATAATATAATATATTGTATGCAAATATATATTGTAAGCTGCTCTGAATCCCCTTCGGGGTGAGAAAGGTACATATAATATTTATAATATTATAATGTAATACAATATAATACTAGTAATAATAATAATACAATATTATTATTATAATTATATACTTACGTTACATGTAATATTACTAATAACATTACAATATAATGGTATGGTACAATATAGTTATATAGAATACTGATATTGTACTATGCTAATAATATAATATATAATATAATATATTGTATGAAAATGTATATTGCAAGCCGCTCTGAATCCCCTTCGGGGTGAGAAAGGTACGTATAATATTTATAATATTATAATGTAATACAATATAGTACTAGTAATAATAATACAATATTAAGCGGCTGAGGGGCAAAAGGAAAGGGTCTGAGGCTGTTAGGGATTCTGGGAGTTGAAGTCCAAAACACCTGGAGGGAAGGCCCAGGTTTGCCCATCACCTGTATGGCATCCCCCCCCCCCCCCGTGTTATGTGTTGCCCCGCTCCCCCCGAAAGGCTACCTGATCGCAGGACCAGGGGCTCCATCACTTGCTTCCCGTTCACGTAAGTCTCAGCCTCTTCGCACGGCTCCAGAGTGACCACGACTGCGAGAGGGGAGAGGAGGGGGCGTCAGGAGAGCCCTTCTTCCATGGCCCCCCATTACGGGAGACGGCCGAGGTCCAGGCCTGGCCAGAAGGGCAACGGAAGCCTCATTTGTGCCTGGATCTCAGGGAAGGAAGGAAGGCCGAGAGACATAAACATGGAGATACAAGCCTCCCCCTCACTCCCTCCCTCCCTCCCTCCCCCTTTTTCATGGGACCCTGACCACCAATACCTGTCGGCACACAGCAGCAGCCCCACAGCGGGGACCCTCTGCTCCACGCAAGCAGAAAGAGAAGGGAGAGCAAAAGGTCATTGGGACCAAGCGAGGCAGGACCACGGTCATGGAGGACGGTCTCAGTGGAGGGGCTGAGTCCAAGAACCCCCACCCATCTACGCACAAGGAGGGCGTGAAGGCCTGTCCAGGCCACACTCACCTTCGCCGGACTCTCCAGTGACACTGCGGAAGAGGCAGTGCTGCTCCTTAATGAACTGACCGGTCAGCTTGATGTCCACGTTTTGCTGGCCGACCCTTAAGCAGGACGAAGGAGGGACGGATGGGCAAAATGTTCAACCGGGACACAATGCAATGCAAACATACAGAACGGGGGACGATGAGGCCTGGCTCGAGAGCAGGACGTGTGAAAAAGATCTTGGGGTCCTCGTGGACAGGAAGGTGAACAATGTAAATGTAATAATAATAAACAGAGTAAAATAATATAAATGTAATAATAATAAGTAAAATAGTAATAATAAATAATGTAAATGTAATAATAACAATAACAGAGTAGAATAATTTATGTAATACAAATAATGATAGAGTAAAATAATGTACTGTATATACTCGAGTATAAGCCGACCCGAATATAAGCTGAGGCACCTAATTTTACCATAAAACACTGGGAAAACTTATTGACTCGAGTATAAGCCAAGGGTGGGAAACGCAGCCGCTACTGGTCAGTTTCAAAATATAAATAGATACCAATACAATTACATTAATTGAGGCATCAGAAGGTTAAATGTTTTTGAATATTTGCATAAAACTGTAAATTAAGATAAGACTGTCCAACTCTGATTAAACCATTATTCTAACCTTCTTCAATGGAAATGTGCTTATGTATCCTTCCAATAATAATAAAGAGAGTGAAATAATAAATGTAATAATAAGAATAATAAAGTAAAATAATAAATGTAATAAAGATAAGAGTAAAATAATAAATATAATGATAATAAGAGTAAAATAATAAATGTAACAACAACAACAACAACAACAGAATTCAATAATAAATAATCTTGACTCAAGTATAAGCCAAAAGGGACTTTTTCAGCCCCCTAAAAAAGGGACTTTTCCAGCCTGCTAAAAAAGGGGCTGAAAAACTAGGCTTATCCTCGAGTATATACAGTAAATGTAATAATGATAAGTAAAATAATAATAATAATAATAAGTAATGTATTAAAATAAAGTAATTGGCAAAAAAGCCAATGCGATGTTGGCCTGCATCAAGAGGAGTCTAGTGCCTATATCCAGGGAAGTCCTGCTCCCCATGCAATATTCTGCCTTGGTCATATCACACTTGGAATCACACTGTGTCCAATTCTGGACACCACAATTGAAGGGAGATGTTGACAAGCTGGAATGTGTCCAGAGGAAGAGGGCGACTAAAATGATCAGGGGTCTGGAGAACAAGCCCTATGAGGAGTGGCTTAAAGAGCTGGGCATGTTTAGCCTGAGAGGAGACATGATAGCCATGTATCAATATGTGAGGGCAAGTCATAGGGAGGAGGGAGCAAGCTTCCTTTCTGCTTCCCTGGAGACTAGGACGCAATGGAACCATGGCTTCAAACTACAAGAGAGGAGATTCCATCTGAACATGAGGAAGAACTTCCTGACTGTGAGAGAGCCGTTCAGAAGTGGAACTCTCTGCCCCGGAGTGTGGTGGAGGCTCCTTCTATGGAGGCTGTTGAACAGAGGCTGGATGGCCATCTGTTGGGGGTGCTTTGAATGCAATTCTCATGCTTCTTGGAAGAATGGGGTTGGACTGGATGATGGCCCACCAGGTCTCTTCCCACTCTAGGATTCTATGCAATGAGGGGAGGAGATGAGGATTGTGAGCAGTTAAAGGGACCGCCCCCCCTCCCGTCCCCTTATGCTCTCCTTACCGGGTGATGCCGTCCTTGATGTGGTAGAGGAGGCACTCGGACATCAAGGGGTCCTCGTTCAGGTTCACCAAGTGAGGAGTCTGCAAAACACAAGGTGTGGGCATTTGCTCCTGAGTGGGATTTGCTCTGCACACTACTTTCCCACCAGGCGAGATTACATACCATTTAGGTGCAATACAGTGTTCCCTCAATTGTCACACGTGTTACGTGTTACAGTAAGTTGTAGCAGGACCAAGCGTGTGTGTGTGTGTGTGTTGAAGAAAAACCTTATGATGGTAATTATTATGTACAGGTGGTAAAGCAGTTTATATTGATTCAGGACTGCTTGTATGTCTCCATCAACGCCCCACCTCCTTGTTCATGCCTAGCATTATTTTTTAAACTTTAATTACATTTGGCCCAGCCATAGATTTTAAATGTGCACTGTATTCTGTTTAATGTTTATGCTATTTGTGTATGAGATTTATTTTTAATTGCATTGTATTGTACCTGTTAGTTTGTATTGCTTGTATGGTTGTATTGTGGGCTCAGCCTCATGTAAGCCGCACCGAGTCCCTTGGGGCGATGGTAGCAGGGTACAAATAAAGTTATTATTATTATTATTATTATTATTATTATTATTATTATTATTAATGTAGGTCAATCTTGGACCACACCCAATAGGGTATAACTGTATGGAGATTTGGAATACAGTTCTGGAGAGCTTTTTCTCTGAGGAGGTCTATGCTCAAAGGCTCTGCTCTGAGGAGCAGATCCATACTTTGTTGTTGTTGTTGTTGTTATTATTATTATTATTATTATTGTAGGTCAATCTTGGACCACACCCAATAGGGTATAACTGTATGGATTTTTGGCATACAGTTCTGGAGAGCTTTTTCTCTGAGGAGGTCTATGCTCAAAGGCTCTGCTCTGAGAAGCAGATCCATACTTTGTTATTATTATTATTATTATTCATCCCATTATTTGGCAATTAGCTGGTTGTACAGAAGGGTTACTTGCACCCACCCCCACCCAGATGGCTCAATACATAGATACAAGGATGGATGGCTAAATAGACAGATAGACAGACAGACAGATATACACACACACAGATAATGCCCTGACTTTCTGTTTCAATAGATGAAAGTAAATATTACATTCTATATGGTACGTAATCCAGCCTTGCAAGAGAGTAGTGCTCTTTTAGATTAGCCCTGTTACAAAGAGGATAGCTGACTTCATTGTTTTCATGATCATCATCATTAGGTGTTCAGCTGAGTTTTGTTTTAATCAGCCTTGTAAGCAACCCGAGCTCTGAGGATTACTACCTGGGAAGGAATCACACAGGAGCATTGCAGCGCACCCAAATACCTGGGAGGAGTCCCTCTGGACTGTGCTCTTACCTACAAGAAGCACTGCCTGAACATCAAGTGAAAAGTGGGTGCCAGAGACAATATCATACGAAAGCTGACTGGCACAACCTGGGGATCACAACCAGACACAGTGAAGACATCTGCCCTTGCGCTGTGCTACTCTGCTGCTGAGTCTGCATGCCCAGTGTGGAACACATCTCACCACGCTCAAACAGTGGATGTGGCTCTTAATGAGACATGCCGCATTATCACAGGGTGTCTGCGCCCTACACCATTAGAGAAATTGTAGTGTTGCACCACCTGGCATCCGCCGGGAAGTGGCAGCCAATAGTGAAAGGACCAAGGCAGAGACATCTCCAGCTCATCCCGTTTGGGTATCAGCCAGCACATCAACGACTTAAATCAAGAAATAGTTTTCTAAGATCTACAGAGACACTCGCCGGAACACCCCAGCAAGCGAGAATCCAAAAGTGGCAGGCTCAAACCCAGAACCTCAACCAATGGCTGATACCAAATGAGAGACTCCCCCCTGGGCACACAGAAGACTGGGCGACTTGGAAGGCGCTGAACAGACTGCGCTCTGGCACCACGAGATGCAGAGCCAACCTTCAGAAATGGAGCCACAAAGTGGAATCCTCGACATGCGAGTGCGGAGAGGAGCAAACCACTGACCACCTGCTGCAATGCACCCTGAGCCCTGCCACATGCACAAGGGAGGACCTTCACACAGCAACAACAGAAGCACTCCAAGTGGCCAGATACTGGTCAAAGGACATTTAACCAACTACCAAACTCACAAATTTTGTATTTTGTCTGTTTGTTTGCTTTGTTAGAAATGTAATATAATTGACTGGTTGTCCTGACACGATAAATAAATAAATAGCCTTGTAAGCACCCCACAGTGCCACCATGTGGCCATCACTGAGAAGACATGCAAGTTGGGTGCATTTTGGCCGCCTTCCACACCAGGAAACAACCGCTGCCTTCCAATACTTGCAATGTGCGCAAATGTCTGGCCAGCAATATTCAAAGCAGAGTGCTGAGTGGGAGTTGGCTGAGTGAGAGTATGCATGGAGGAAGTCTTTGGTGGTGGTGGTGGTGGTGGGGGGGTGTTACAGCTGCACCCACTTACCTTTTTGGGGGAAAAGACCCCCACGGTGCCCCCGTCCTCCCGGAGCGCGACGCCCATCTCGGCCAGGAGAGCCTCCCTGCAAAGAAGGACACAGTGAGCATCAAGGGACAGGACCTTCGGGCAAACGGACCCCACCAGACCCCATATATATATATATATATATATATATATATACACACACACACACACACACACACACACACACACACACACAAACATACATACATACACATACACACATAGTGGAAAGGCATGTGGAGAAATCAAAAAGCCATCTCCGGGAACGCACAGGAAGGCAGCTTGGAGGACACCAATGACACCTGAATAGGATCTCTGCCCCTACTTCTCCTTTGGCTGGCTTTGTAGTTCCAGTTTGAGCACCGGCCTCCAACTCTGGAGACCAGGGTTCAAATGAATCCCCTTTGCTCAGCCTCAGAAACCCCCTGGAGAAAGCACTCTCTCTCAGCCTCAGAGGGAGGCCAAGGCAGACCTCCTCTGAAGAAACGAGGCCAAGAAAACCCACCACAGGTTCACCCCAAGTCAGAGACCGTTTGAGGGCAGACAAGAACAACCAGGATGGCCCCCCCCCCCCCTCACCGCTCTGTCCGGATGGCCTCTGTCTTCCGCAGCTTCTCCTCCCAGGTTTCATTCAGCTCGGCAATGATCTTCTCCGTCTCCTGCAAGAGCAAGAAAAGGGCTCTGGGTGAACTGAACTGATATACTCTGTGTGTGTGTGTATGTGTATATATACATATGTATATATACATATATAATAATAATAATAATAATAACAACAACACTTTATTTGTACCCCACTACCATCTCCCCAAGGGACTCGGTGCGGCTTACATGAGGCCAAGCCCAAACACAACAATACAAGCAATAATCACAACAGTACAAGCAATAAAATAAAAACATAGGCAATAAACATGCAACATTATCAGTAAGACAACATACAATTAAAACTGTGAACTCAAGAACGGAAAACAGAATGTTGGTGGGCAGGAAAAGAGATTTAAAGATGGGCTCAAAGCCAACCTTAAAAACTCTGGCATAGGCACTGAGAACTGGGAAGCCCTGGCTCTTGAGTGTTTCAGCTGGAGGTCAGCTGTGACCAGCAGTGCTGCAGAATTTGAAGAGGCACAAATGGAGGGTGAAAGAGAGAAATGTGCCAAGAGAAATGTGCCAAGAGGACCACCTTCCACCTGGAAACCAATGCCCTCACTGTGGGAGAAGATGCAGATCAAGAATAGGGCTCCACAGTCACCTCCGGACCCACCCTGGAGGATTATCCTACTTGGACAACGAGGGATTGCCTAAGTAAGTAAGTATACACACACACACACACACACACACAAGCTGTACCCACCACACGTTGCTGTGGCCAACCTTCCCTCCCTCTTTCTCTCTTCCTTTCCTTCTCCTTTCCCCTTTTTTCTTTCCTTCCTTCTCTTCCTCTTCTGTTCCATCCTTCCCTTTTCTTTCCTTTCCTCTTTCTCCCTGTTCTTCCTTCTCTACCTATTCTTGGACTGCAACTCCCAGAAGTCCTCCTGGTCGATTTATCTACCTATCTACCTACCTACCTACCTACCTATCTATATCTATATCTATCTATCGGGCCTCCCCCGAAGATCTCAAACTCCGAGGTGGGATGTAGAGGGAGATGCATTCAGACAGGTACGCTGGGCCGGAGCCGTATAGGGTTTTGTAGGTCAAGACCAGCACTTTGAATTGTGCTTGGAACTGGATCGGCAGCCAGTGGAGCTGACATAGCAGAGGGGTGGTATGTTCCCTGTATGACGCTCCGGTGAGTAATCTGGCTGCCGCCCGCTGGACTAATTGAAGTTTCCGAAGTTTCCGAACAGTCTTCAAAGGCAACCCCACGTAGAGTGCGTTGCAGTAATCTATCCGGGATGTAACAAGAGCGTGGACCACCGTGGCCAGATCCGACTTCCCAAGGTACGGGCGCAGCTGGCGCACAAATATATGCACCAGTTATTTAGATATATGCACCAGTTATTTAAAAACAAAAACATATATACAGATATACAGATATACAGATATACAGAGATATATATATATATATATATAGTTGTTCAGCCTGTGATTGTGTCTAATGATCAGGGTACTCAGGATATTGGGAGTGACAATGAGGTTCATGTATCCAATGATGAGGTTGCTCTGGATTCAGAGAATGACAATGGATTCCTGTTCAAAGTGACTTCTCTGATAAGAATGTTCCTGAAGGGTCTGGGGATAATGGTATGGTCCCTGGAAGAGGGCCTGAATTGCTACCAGAGAATTCCCATGACTTTGAGCCTGAGAATAGCTCGGCACATTGGCCAGCTGCAGAAATTAATTAGCCAGTAGATAGGAGAAATAGTTTCAGTCAGCACAGGCAAACAAACCAGGCTCTCAGACGCTCTGCCAGACTGAGAGAGAGATTGATAACAGAGTCAAGGCTGAAACGAAATCCGTTCCTGGCCGCTTGGGATATAGAGTAGATTAGGGGATAAAAGTGCCAAGTACAGACTCTGTAGCCAGACGAAGCAACGTTGGAATTGAGTCAAGACTTCTTCCCAGGTCCCTGGAAGCCTTGCCTTGAATAGATTCCGTCAGTGTGTATTTTCATGTATGATGTGTGTTTAAATGCAATTTCATATAGTAAAAATGTGATTGCAATAGGATTGTATTGCCAGGATGTGTGTTTATACAGTAGAGTTAAAAACAGCAAAGCAACTAGCTGTGAGAATGTGACCTGTGACCCTGGGATTTCTAGCTGTGTGAAACTTTAAGGAGTTTAAGGAGTAGCTGTGAGATAACCACTAGCCAGCTGCAATTTTGTTTTCGTTTCCCACTTCCTTTGTTCTGCGTACTTCATGTCTGCTCGCTTGTGGTGTTGGTTGTGTTTTGGAACCTCTTAAGTAAAGCTGAACCTGCTTTTTACTGACGACTCCAGAGTCCATTATTCTGAGGTTTTACAATACTTCTGCTGACGCTAAGTGCCTTGTTTGATTCATGATTCAAGTTTTGGGGTTTTACCTTGGAAGTTTCAGTATTTGTTTTTCATGAACTAATTTCCTGGACTATTTGTTTCTACTTATCTTTCTACCTAATTGGATTTACCTATTTTTATATGGATTGCTTTTTACTGCAACTGCTTTTAAAACAGTGGTTCTCAACCTTTCTGATGCCGCGACCCCTTAATACAGTCCCCCATGTTGTGGTGACCCCCAACCATAACATTGTTTTCGTTGTTACTTCATAACAATCATTTTACTATTGTTATAAATCATAATGTAAATATCTGATATGCAGGATGCATTTTTATTCACTGGACCAAACTGGGCACAAATACCCAATACACCCAAATGTGAATGCTAGTGGGGTTGGGGGAGGACTGATTTTGTAATTTGGGAGTTGTAGTTGCTGGGATTTATAGTTCACTTATAATCAAAGAGCATTCTGAACTCCACCAGCGATGGATTTGAACCAAACTTGGCTCCCATGACCAATGGAAAACACTGGAAGGGTTTGATGAGCATTGACCTTGATTTTGGGAGTTGTAGTTCACCTATATCCAGAGAGCACCGTGGACTCATGCAATGGTGGATCTGGACCAAACTTGGCACAAATACTCAATATGCCCAAATGTGAACACTGATGGAGTCTGGAGAAAATAGATTTAGGAGTTGTAGTTGCTGGGATTGATAGTTCATTACAATCAAAGAACATTCTGAACTCCACCAACGATAGAATTGGCTCAAACTTCCCACATGGAAACCCCATGACCATTGGAAAACACTGTGTTTTCTTATGGTCTTTGGTGACCCCTCTGACACCCCCTTGCGACCCCCTCAGGGGTCCCGACCCCCAGGTTGAGAAACACTGTATTAAAATATCTTCAATAAACTGCTTGCATTTTTACTTAGCTGTGTGGTGTTTAAAATCAGAGGGCTTTCCTGCCCTAGAGTTCAATATATATGTTTGTGTGTGTGTGTGTGTGAGTGCGCACCTTATAAAATGTCCCTGTTCCAATTGATGCACACATTCAACTTAAGAACAAACCTACAGAACCTCTCCTGTTTGCAACGTGGGGGCTGCCTGTATACCGAAATAGTCCCTCTGGTCCTCCTCACCTGCAGGCGCTCCATGGCTTCCTCCGTGCAGATGATCTGCTCCTCCGAGTCGGGGAGGTATTGCTCCGACTCCCCGTTGAGGGCCATGGGCTCCAGCGAAAGCGGGGAATCCACACTCGGGGCAAAGGGGGAGGTGGGCAGCCCCGGCCCCCCTCCAGGGTCATCCGCCTTGGGACCTGGAAACACACGGACGGAGGTCAGGAACATGGAGAAACCCACCCACAACAAGACCCCCACTGAATCCACTAGACCAACTTGGGCCCTCCCAACAGGCGTTTTGGACTCCAACTCCCATAATTGTGTTAGGAATTGTGGGAGGTGAAGTCCAAAACATGTGGAGGGCTGAAGTTGGACCATGCTTCCCCAATTCCCCCCCCCCCCCC